ACAGCAGTGCTCTCTGCCTGTCCCTCCCTGGCCCATAGCTGGAGGGGACTAACCCAAGGATGAATCCACATGGGTAACCTGCAAACGGATTTTCACTGTCACCCATAGCCTTCTGCAAAACCAGGTACTCACATTTTTAGCTCGAATACAATTCTTTCCTCTGGATTTGGATTTTATTATTTCTAATCCTTGGATCACACAACTTCTTCCATGTGGATTCAGCTGATGCCTCACTTAGATGGCTGCTCGGTTTAAGACAAGCCCTCAAGGCCCCAGATGCTATTCTTTCTGACAGGCCGGGCACCATCTGCTTTCTTCACCACACTTTGCTACAGCACCCACATCTTCAGCCACCTCTCCATGAGGGTGAGGATCCAGCAGGGCTGTGTCATTAGAAGGAATTATTCTTAGATTAGGATTATGCTGACGTGAGCTCAAAATAACATCTCTAGGCCAAACCATTTGTATTTCCCTGCGATTTGAATTTATGGGCTCATGTGCATGAAGTTCCCTACCCAGGCTGTCTATCTGTCTGCCCATCCATAGGTGTCCATTTGAAACGTGAAGAAACTGGTTCCCTGGAATTGCCTTCAAGTCAAACAATGACCAGTAGCCTAACCGTCGCCATCGGGTTGCTTTGGAAAATGACCCATGTGCAGCCAGCTCGGGGAAGCAGCTGTCTAGTCTGCTGGAGGCTGTTTTAGGATGTATGGAATGTCCTTGGGGACTTGCCCTGTACTTTGATGCTCTCGAGATATTCAAAAGCAGATATCCAAGGGCTGACATAACCCACCTTCATTGTTTCTGGTGATGCTTCCCAAAGCGGCCCATATCAAATCATATCTACTCATAACATATCCCATTACACTATTTTAGGTGTCTCTCTAATATAAAGGAGCCACGGTGGCACTGTGGCTTAGGCACCGGGCTGCTAACAAAGAGGTCCTTGATTCAAATCCACCAGCTGTGATGTGATGAGATGAGGCAGTCTCCTCCTGTAAAGAGTCAAGTCTTCGGAATGCTGTACGTGGTTGCTTTAGATTGGAATCGACCCAGTGTAAGTGAATTTGGGTTGGGTTTTCTAAGCAATTTAGGTTTCTGACATTACCATTTTTAGGCAAGTTTATCTTGGTTTTAACTTTTGGTAAGGCCTCTCTAAGGGGGACAGACAAGGCTGCCTGCTCAAGGCGTAATGCCTGGGACCCCCAGGGGCAGGTCTGCCCGCTGCAGGGTTATTGGGAGTCAGCAGGGGCTCCTTGGCAGTGCTTTCGGGTTTGAGCGTTCGCCACCAGCCTTGGAGGGTTGGCACATTGCTTACCTGCTCTCGGGTATCAGCAATGTAAGTTGTTTTTTTGGTATTAACAGATGCTGGTACAATCGCAGGTGCAGCCCAAGCTACGGTGCCATAGCGGTCACATTTGGGGCTGCTAA